CACCTCCAGGATGCCATGAGGCCCCTTGCCCCATGCCCCTGTGCCTGTGCTGAAGCCAGGGTAGGCAGTGTCAGGCCTCTGCCGGCTTAACCCCAGCTTTTTAAGGACCTAAACCCCAGTGAAAGAACTGAGACAGTCACCTCTGAGGAAATGTTCTTCCCCACCTGCATACTAGAAAGGGCTCCAGCCTTTTTGGAGAGTTTTTTTTTAAATCAAAAGCCTTAAAGAAGCACATGCCCTCTGACCCAGCTCTGCAGTTCTACGATTTAGAAGCACCTAACGCGGCAGCGGCCTTGGGTGCTGAACCCAGCCTGGGCTGGCATTCGCCCCTGTGGCTTCCTGAAGTGCGGTGCGGGTCTGTACCCAGCATGGAAGGGGCCGGTGACTCGAGGCTGTGAGCAGCAGAGGGTTACAAGAGCATGAAGGTGCGAGCCCATCAGGTGTGTCCACGGATGTGTGTCAGTGTGCATGTGTCCATGTGCATGTGTCCATGTGCATGTGTGTCCATGTGCATGTGTGTCCATGTGCATGTGTGTTCATGGATGTGTACACATGGATGTGGACATAAGTGGGTGTGAGTGTGTGTGTGTGTCTCCTGGTAGGATAAATTCCAAAATATTAATATTAGTACGTAGTGGGATCATATGAGGGTACTTCAAAAAGTTTGTGAGAAAATAGAATTAAAATACGTCAAACCTTCTGTGTGTTTTTCGAAGTACCCTCATATGTATTTTCACTTTCTCTCTTGTATTTCCTGTAAGTTTTTGGTTTGGGTAGTGGGCCCGGTTGTGGATTCTGCAGCCTCCTGGTGCTCTCTCTAAGGGCAGGGGGATGCATGGGGACAGGAGAGCAGCCTCCTGAAGGACAGGTCTGGGCCTGGGCTTTCCCCTTGGGAGGGTGGAGGGCATAGACACTCCTGCCCTGTGTTGGGTGTGTCCACGTTTATTCACAGAACCCCTCCCACATGCCCCACCATGGTACCAGGTACCAAGTGCTGAAACTGTCGTCTCAGCTCTTGAGCACTCGGGAGGTGGCCCAGAAGCCCCTCACGTGGCCGTATGGGTGACCGTGTTGCTGAGGTGTTTGTGCCCGGCCGGGTGTGGAACTCACCGGGTGACCACGGGGTGCAGCATGTGATTGGGTCCGAAACACCTGAGGCTCCCACGCCCACGCAGGCCCGTGCGGCCCATGGGGTTCCTGGGGTGAAGAGGGGTTGGCTCAGCCCCCTGCCCACACTGGGAGAACTGGAGCATGGGGGGCCGGCTCCCACCAGGACCTGCCCTGACCTGGGGAAGAGGATATCTCAGGGATTCCCAAGGGGTGAGGCCAGGGGCTTCAGGTTACCTTGGGGTCACTTGGCAAGGGAAGGGATCTCCTCGGGAGCAAAAGCCAAGCCCCACTGCAGGCCGGGAGGTGTTAAAATGACCACCCTTTCCCCTATAGAGTGCAGGACCCACAGATTGCTTCGGACTATACTTGTCTGTATCCCAAGGCCCCGGTCACACAAGAGACCTGCCGCCACCTTGTGCCTAGCGAGCATGGGGGTGGACACCAAACATCCGGAGGCCCTGCATCTCATGGCTGTGACCACAGACGATGGTCACCATGCGTGGCCCCAGCCTGGAGGGCCCAGGCTGCAAATACGTGGGCTGGTCCTGTGTCCCGAGCACAGGGCACTAGTCACAGAGACCAGGTCCTATTACAAATAATAAGTTCTAGAAATGGGTGGATTTATGTGAATTCATCACTAGAACAGGACCAAGAAATGCACCAGCACTGTTCTACCCTGAGTGAGACCCCCGGGTCTGACACACCCACCGTGCTGCACTGTCCTCCTGGTCCTGGCTTGGACAGTTATTCAGGGCCTAGGTACAGAGCAGGAGCCCCGCCCTCGGGAGAGTGCGGCACTGGGAGCACTGCAGCGCTCCCGCCGCGGGTTCGGATCCTATATAGGGATGACCAGTGCGCTCACAGCACTCAGTGGCTGAGCGCGGTGCGGCCGGTCTCAAAAAAAAAAAAAAAAAAAAAAAAAAAAAAATCACATCACTCCTTACACCTTATGCAAACAACCTCCAGCTGTATTAAAGACTCAAATGAAAAAAACTAATTTAAAAACATATTAGAAGAAAATAGAACGGTGTGTCTTTATGACTTCATAGAGAGAAAATATGCCTGAGATAATATAATAAAAATGTAATTCATAAGTAAACTACATAAGCATGATAAAAATTATTTTCTGTTCTGTTACATTCCACATGGCCACTAAGTCCATCAGGTCCTTCCTGGAGCACCTGCTGCTTCCACATGGCCAGATGTGCCTTCCTAAATACCCCTTCGACCCGTCCCACATGGTCCCCATCACGAGAGCGGGATGCTGGGGCCAAGGCCACCCCAGCTCAGGGTCCCTGTTCTCGTGCCCCACCTGTCTCCTGCCACCTCCTTACATAAACTCTGGTTCCAAGCAGAGTAACACACTCCTTGCTCCAGAACATTCTACAAAAGGCCGGCTGCCACCTCGTCCCTCTCCCTGCACACCCCCTCAGTCCCCCTTGCTCCATGATGCTCCTCCAGACCCCCATCCCGGTGACCTGTCCCTCTGCATTCTGTTGGCCACAGTCCAGCACTCTGAGGCTCACAGGTCACCTGACATCTTTACCCGGGTTTCCTCACCTGCGCAATGGGGTGAAGTGCTGGTCCTACGGGGACACCATGCGAGGAGGCCACCACCCCACCAGCATGCCCACCAGCCACCCTCCCCTCTGACAGCGTCCCTGAGGCAGAGCGCCTTCATATCGCTGCACCGTCCTTCCCACATGTGACATGGCCGTCCCCGGACCATCCCCAAAGATCACATCAGGGACTGAGGGACGAGGCACATCAGGGGGCCCAGCTGGGACAAGTCCACAGCCTTCCCCACACGCCACCTCTGGAAAAGACACAAAGAACAGTTCCAGCAGGGGCGCTGTGGAAACACTGCAAGGTCATGTTTTCTTTTCTTTCTCTGAGTTTGTTTTTACCAGCAAACTGCCTTGTTTGCAAGAGAGGGAACCTGCCACCAAAAGCAAGCCCCAAAGGGCTGCACTCACAGGGGAAGCCCGTGCTGCACCGCGTAGGGCCCGTGGAAGCTCTGGCGGTCTGTCGGTCCATCCACGACGTTGTACCTGATCCTGGAAAGGGGTTCCAGGGCACTGGGAGCAGAGGACAGGGACGTCTCATGGGAGGCGTGGCAGGCAGGGCAGAAGCAGGACCTGGGCAGGCTGCCCAGAGGTACCTCGTCTGGGCTCAGAGAGGGCCACCTCAGACCACGCCCGCACATGGAAGGCTCAGCACCGTGCAGGCCTCCCCCACACCCTGGGCCTCTGGGATGAAGGAAGCGGACCCTGCAGGGCTGCCAGGCCACCTCAGACCACGCCCGCACATGGAAGGCTCAGCACCGTGCAGGCCTCCCCCACACCCCGGGCCTCTGGGATGAAGGAAGCGGACCCTGCAGGGCTGCCGAGTGGGATTCCCCTCCCCTGGGCCCTGGGGCAGGACTGGGGGCCCGGAGGGAGGCCCACACTCACTCTCCTGTGGGGTCCACGATGGCTGCCTCCTTCCTCTCCACTGTGTAAAAGGGCGGGTCGTAGATTAGGAACTCTACCTGGAGCAAAACAGGGCTTTTCCCTCAGGTTTTTTCTCCCCAAAGCTGGGTCCAGGTGCCCAGAATGAGTCAGAGGGAGACTCACGGCCAAGGCCGGCCGCCCAGCTGGACCTGAAACTGACCTCAAGGTGCATACGCCAGCTCTGAGCTGGGGCAGAGCTGAGGGGGGGCTCAGCAGAGGGACCCCCACCGGGGGCCCAGCCAAGGGCTGGCGACCAGGACTGGGGCCTTGGGGACTCTTCCCAGGATGGGGTGGGGGGGCTAAGCTGGACCCCAGAGGTGGGAAGGATTCCATGTGATGGGGGCTAGGAGAAGGCCATGGAAGAAGCCGTCTGGAATGTTCCAGAACGGAGAGGGCAGGGGGCCACTCCACCCAATGCAACTATCCACTCTCCGTCCCTGTGTGTCTCTTCTGTGACTGGCACTGGGCACCATGGGGACTAGCACAGGATGGATGCAGGGATGGGGGCCAGGCTGCTGAGGCAGGTGACATGTGTGGGTCAGATTGCCCGCCAGGCCCCCTCTGCCCCTTCCAGCTGTGTGACTCATGTGACTTGGCCTCTGTGTGCCTCAGTTTCCTTATCAGGCTGCAATGGCCAGGGAGAGCCATGGTCAACATCAGAGGGGCTGGGGGTAGGACCTCTCTCCCCTTCGCCAGGGCCTGGCCACCTCCCACTGTGTTGGGGTGCTGGCGAGACAGGCACTCACCTCCCAGGGCACCTTCTCGTTGGGCACAGGGAACCGTGTGACCAGACTGTTGGGGTAAAGGAGGTGCCGGGCATTCACGTGGTAGCCGTCACCTGGCTCCTCTGCCCTCTTTCTGCTACCTGGCTCAGCATCCTGCTCCTCAGAAGCCTTTTGGGGTGCTGGGAACAGCCACACAGGGCCGTGAGCAGGGCTCAGGCATCTGGCCTGTAGGATGGGGGCTCCCTCTGTGTCCTTTCCCCAAAATGTCTGGGCTGCTTCCACCTCCCCACGCCCACACAGCTGAGCAGGGTGGACACCAGCCCAAGCACTGGGACGACAGCGCTCTAGGGTCTGGGCAGTGTTCCCTGCTGGTGTCTGCTTCTTCATGCAGCCACAGCAGAGGTCTCAGTAACTGACAGCTCTCTGCCATTACAAAAGCCTGTCCCATGAGTGAGGGAAGACTTGCTCTGGGGGCCAGCAGTGCCCGGTGAAGGTCTCTCCGCCCACTTGTTGCTGGATGCCACACTAGGAAAACAGACTTTGCTCTCTGTCGATGCGGAAGACTTGCTCTGGGGGCCAGCAGTGCCCGGTGAAGGTCTCTCCGCCCACTTGTTGCTGGAGGCCACACTAGGAAAACAGACTTTGCTCTCTGTCGATGCGACTGGGTCTTAGCCATCTCCTGGAGCTGTCCACCCCTAGCCCTGGCTCTGCAGCACTGCATGTAGATCAGGGGCTAGGGGCCAGGCCTCCCTTTGGAGGTCCAGGAACCTGGCCAGGTCAGGTGATGGGCTGAGCTCCCCAGGGTGTAGCATAGCACTGCAGTGCTTAGACTCAGGCTGTAGCCACAGCCTTCCACCAGGACCGCAGAGCCCTGCCAGCTGCCTCTCCTCCTGACCGATCCCCAGATTCAAAAGCACACAGGCCAGTGGAGACCAGGTGCTGACAGCCACCCACTCACCCAGAATGGGGACGCCTGCCTCCGAGCCAAAGCCACTATCCCTCAGGGTCCTCACGATCCAGTGCAGAGTTCTGGCTGTCTGCGCCACCTGGAAAGAACATCCCAGAACAGATTCAGTTAGTCACTTCTATCCACACAGCACATGCCCTCCTGCCACTGCCCGCCCAACAGTGGGGCTGGGGCCTGGCTCAGGAGCCCTGGCTGCCCAGGTGACCTTGCTTCTCAGCACCCTGTGCCATCTGAGTTAAAACAAGTCCCTTCCAAACCCTCCAGGACACTACCAGGCCCACCTGCTTCCCTGACCCCCAGCAGTGCCTACCGATGAGACACAGTGTTCACTGGGATGGACACACCAAGGCAATGGAACTGACCCAACACCCCCGTGAGACAAGTCTGAACTGGGGGTGGGGGGTGATGTGCTGTCGGTGGGAGGTGATGTGCCATCGGTGGGAGCAGCTCCTCAGCTCTGCCACCTCCTGGAGGAAACCACTCCAGAGGCCCATGCCACTTGACCACAGGGACGGCAGGAAACTATGACCAGCATGGGCCAGGAAAATGGGTGCGAGGGTAGGGCTGGCTGGGGCAGAGGACCCCAGCCAGGCCTAGCCCTGATCTGCTCATTGAGGGTGGAAGCAGCAGCCCCGGGTGATGCCATGGGGGAACAGCCACGGGAGACACTAGGGGCTGCTGTGGGCAGTGGGGTCTCAGCAGATGGCATTGGTCCTGCTGTCTTTCCTTGCAAAACAGTCTCTCCTCAGCACCTGAGACCGTCCCTCCCTCCCTCCTTGCCCAGCTTAGCCTCGGCAGCCTCAGAGATTGCTAGGGACCATTTTCGAGTCCTCTCTGCCTCCATCCCACAGCCCTCTCCCAGGTTTGGGGCACAGAGTCTGCCGGGAGCACAGCCCCCACAAGGGGAACATTCATGGCGCAATGGCGCGGAGCTCCACTGCAGAACTGTCGGGTGGAATTTTCTAGAGGCCAAAGAAGGCATCTCTTGCAGTTGGGAATGATGCCTGGACCACCCCAATATCCACCCTCTGTGTTGTTTTCTCAGGGTGCTCATCCCTGATGCCACGACACGGCAGAGCCACCTGCCAGGCCAAGACCTGGAACCCACCTGCTCCTCCAGGGAGGCCAGCCTCTGCTCCGTGGAGCCCGACCTCTTCAGGCGGTCCATGTCCAGCAGGTCCACCATGGCATCCACCCTGAAAAAGGATGCGCTGAGCCCAGCTCAGCCAGGCTGTGGTTGGCATGAGTGGGAAACAGGACGCCACTTTACAGATGGCGCTGTCAACCCACCCTCCCAGGCCCTGCATTGGTGCCCAGTGCAGTCATCTTCCTCTAAACGTGAAGCTATTTCTAGCACATGTTTCTGCTGTACAGCAAGGCTGCCTAGTGCCCAGAGGGGAAGGCATCTCAGCAGAGGGATGACCAGGTGTCGCTGGGGAGACCCGGTGAGTGACACACCCACACACCTGAGCCTGCTCACCTGACTCACCAACAGGCTGCTGGGCCCCCACTCCAAAACCGAAACCTTAGCCACAAACAGGAAAGCTGTGGTGGGCACAGCTGGGGTTGTCTGGGGAACGGCCGGTGCTCTTAAAGGCCTCTTAACCACCCCGCCTTGTTTCCTGACAGCCTTGCAATTATGCCAGGGTGTTAACTGGGGAATTTCTGGACCCCCGTGATTCAGCCATCTGTGAGATGTAGGCACTGCCTGGATTTGCTGACAGAGCTCGTCAGAGACCCCAAACCTCCGCCCTGCTCTGTGGGTGAGTAGCCGCAGTCAGCAGCTCAGCCACAATGCTGTGAGGTCAGGACGGACAGCGCATATACCACGGTGCCTCCTTGGGCCCTGAATCCTCACTGGACCCACAGAGAGAAGGTGACCAGGCCAGGGGACCTCTGTAAGGGCCAAGAAGGTCTTTCATCATTTTCCCCATTGTCCTCCAGGCCCCACTGGTGCCTACCAGAGCTGAGGGGCTAGGGCTGGAGAGAAGGGAGCAGAAAGGTCCATCCCCAGCACTGACCTCGGGCCCTGAACAGAAATGGAGGAGTTGAGGGAGGGGGCAGAGCTGAATGTGGCCGAGCTCCAGGGCTGCGCTGCCAAGGCCCTGCAGAAGTTGCACTAGGCCATGCACCGCCAGCTCACCGAGAAGCCGTTCTCGGGGCAATCCTGGGCTCTGGATGTGCACATCCTCCCAGGCCTCCCGATCAGCGTCCTGCAGGCCAACCTGCCCGCTTAAGCACATGCAGGCTTCCCTCCCAGCCTCCAATCCCCCCACCCCGCTGTTTACCCATGGGGCCAAGGCCTCCATAGGAAGAGGGCCACTTGTCAGCTTCTGGGCACAGGCCCCAGTGCCTGTGGGATTGCAGGGGTACACAGGCACAGAGCTTAACCTCCCCAGGTGGGATGCGTGTTGGGCCACCCCAGGTGGGATGTGCACTTATCCTGCCTGTGGAACTGCAGGGGCGGTGGCCCAGAGGTTTCCCTCCCTGGATGGGACATGCACTTCTCCTGCCTGTGGAACTTCAGGGCACATGGGCCCAGAGGTTCCCTCCAGGATCGCCCATCTCCCTTACTTATTGTGGATGTCTTCAATCTTCTGCTCTGGCCTCTGCTTTTGTTGGTACTGCTGGTTCTGCAGGTAGTTCTCCTTCAGGTAGATCTCCCAGGACAGGAGGGCCGCCTCTTCGTTCTTTTCCAGCTTGTTCTCTGTGGGGCGGGGGGACAGACAGACGGGGCCTGAATTCCACACGAGGCCCTGAGCTACCCAGGGATCCCACAGGAAGGGTCTGGCCCTGAGCACAGGAGGGGCCCACTCCACCCCCGCCCAAGGGGACTGCTAGGCTCAGCCCCCAGCACTTGCTCAGGGCTGGTGGGAGGCCAGCGGCCTGAGTGGCCAGTGTGCTGCTGAGCGACCTGGATTCTAGAAGGTGCTGCCACGTGCACCCCAACCCCCCGCTGTGCCCTATGACAGCCTGGTGCATGCTCTGAGGATGACAGAGGCAGCTTACTGAGTTGCTTGTGTCGCTTGGCTGGGATCTTCAGGACCACCCTCTTGATGAAAAGCTGCAGGTGGCTGAGCAGGATGAAGGGGGGTGGCGCGGGGGGCCGGCTGTGGTACTCCTCGATCAGGTCATGGCGCTGGAACTTCCAGATCTGGTCCGTGTGCTCCTGGACCTGCTGGAACGTGTAGCTGTGGGAGACAAGAACCACGCACAGGTCAGCAGGTTTGCAGCAGACACAGAGCCTCCCCACCTCACGGCCCGCAGACCAGAGCAGCACCACACAGGAGCCAACCCAGATGCAGAGAAAGACGGGTAGCCCAGCAGCTTCAGGACTCTGAGCTTCCTGGGGGCCCAGGTGAGAGGAGAGAAAGAGCACACAGATTGCAGACTGAATATGCCTTGTTAGCAAATGAAGCGAAGCTGACATTTGCAGGTGTGTGTCTTGCAGAGACAGGGAGGTTTCGGGTGGCTCCACCTGCTTTCACTGCCTCAAGGACAGGTCCTGCTGCAGCCCCTCGATCCCCTCTAGATCCCAGGTGCAGTGCAGGGGTCAGGCTCTCTCCATGATCAGAGCACTCAGTAAAACAACCAGGGGCAAGCCAGCAACCTAGCTGATGAAAGGGGAACAGACGTAGTGCCAAGCACCATCTGGAATAAAAGGATTTTCAGAGGGTCATGGGTCCCACGGGCCTGTCTGCAGACGCCAGGAAGGACTTTCTGAATTATGGGGGAAGCTGGTCCTTCTATGGGCTTAGACAGCCCCAGGCTACTGGCCTCCTCAGCTCCACTGTCAGGGCCAGGAATGGGCCACAGAGGAGCCCCCAGAGCCAGTGGGGGGCTGGGATCTGGCCTCCGAACACTGGCATTTTCAGTATGCAAAGTCTCCTGTTTGCCCAGAGCCTTTTATGCCACCTCTTATGTCAGGGCCAGGAATGGGCCACAGAGGAGCCCCCAGAGCCAGTGGGGGGCTGGGATCTGGCCCCCGAACACTGGCATTTTCAGTATGCAAAGTCTCCTGTTTGCCCAGAGCCTTTTATGCCACCTCTTATGTGAGGTCCACAACATTCTCTTTGCTCCAAAGTTTAAAACCCACAGGAGTGTACGGGGCCCCTGAAGCCTGGGCTCCCTGGCTTCTATGCTACTCAGGGACATGACATCAGCAGGAAGGTCCTGAGGCCTGAGATGATGACTTCCACCGACTGGCAAGGACTGCAGAATAGACCACTGATTTTGTATTTTTAGTTTCACAAACAAAAATAACAAAAATTTAAAAAGTTCTACAATAAGACTGAACCCTTCAAAACACCAAGGATTTAAAGAACATCCTAGAAATTTCCAGAGAGAAGAAACAGTGACTGTAGTAGTTTCCTATTGCTGCTATAACAAATTACCACAAACGGAGTGCCTTAGAACAGTTTGATTTATTCTCTAATAGTCGTGGAGGTCAGAAGCCTCACTGGGCTAAAGGCAAGGTGTTGGCAGGGCTGTGTTTCTCTTTCCACCTTCCAGAGGCCACCTGCGCTCTGCAGCTCGATGCCTCCTGTCACTGCAAGACCCATTTCCACTGTCACATCTCTTCTTACAGCCTCCTGCCTCCCTCTTACAAAAACCCTCATGATTACATTGGGCCCAACCACATGACCCAGGATCAGCTCCCATCTCAGTATCCTCAATTTAATCCCATCTGCAAGCTCCTTTGCCATATAAGGTCCAACATCCACAGGTTCTGTGGATTAGGATGTAGACATCTTTGTGTCACAGACACCAATAAAGGTCCAAGGTGCATAGATTCTGTTGGCACTTTGGAAGCCACTCACAAACTGAGCAAATGGTCAGGAGGTGGGCAGACACGTAAACACCCTGCAGAACAACATCAACACAAAAGACGTGTGGGTGAATAAGCCCCTGACAGTGGGAGAACCAGACACAGAGCTGCCCACGGATGGCTCAGAACTACAGGAAAACAAGCCCCAAGGGAGCATTGGCTTGGCACAGTCAGAGGTGGACAGCAGGGGCAGCGGGAACACGTCTGGGGTTTGGGGGGACACGGGCAGAACACTTGGGTGATGAGGGGACAGCCCTGAGAACCAGTGGCCACAGCACACCCCCAGGTAGAGCTGAGCACATGGATAAATAACACTACATCCTTGCAGCCGTTCACAAGGAACAAAGTGGATACTAACAGCCCTTCCCTGTGCTGGGAATGACCTAAGGCGCTTCCCATGGAGCAGGGAAGATGGAGACTGCAAGATGCACCCCCAAGCCCACGTGGCACCGTGGGATGGATCTGCGGCACCACAGACCCCCAGTAGAAGTGATGTGGGCAGACCATCATGCCAGCTCAAGAGACATCACAGCAACCAGGTAGAGCGTGGACCATCCAACCGTCCGCTAAGACTCTGGGCGGACAGAGGGACTGGCGCAGCCCAGGGATAGCTGCCTGCCCACCCGCGTGCACAGCCTCCACTGGGGCACTCACTTGAACATGGCGATGAGCAGGTTAAGCAGAAGGATGTTGGTGAAGAGCAGGTACAGGCACAGCAGGATGACCGTTAGCCACTCGGGGAAGGCAGGCTCGTGCCGTGTCACATCACTCTCGGGGCACTTGGGCTTGTAGGGGTCTGTGCCATTGGGGCTGCAATGGTCCAAGTTGAAGTTCACACCTGGAATCGGCCGTGGAGTGGGTAGGGCAAGAAAACAGCACAGTCGCGCAGATGGCTTGGCTGGAGGGCATCCCCAAGGCCATGCGGTCACTGCTGGGCATCCCCATGGGTCTGCACCTCTGGGCGACGTAGCTGTCAGCTCAAAGCCCAGACAATGTAAAAAAAAAAAAAAAAAGAAAAGAAAAAGAACTTTCTTACAGTCAAAGTTGTCCAAAGACAAAATATATTTCCTCAGAAAAAGCAAAATCTTATAATTGGAGATGTTCAGTCTGGTAGGCATATTGACAAGGAGCTTCAAGAATCAGAGTTAATGTCTTTTCGAATGTCCATAGTCTATAAGGTCATCAAAGCCTCAAATAACCTACCATTGATCAATTCTTTTTGGTCTATGTATTTGGGTGTGTGGTACTGTTTTATTACTTTTACTTCACTCTCTCAAATGTCTGTGACAATGTGAATGTCATAATGTGTAAAAATAATCAGACCTAGAATTAAAAGTGCCATATTTGAACCCTCGCTGTGTTGTTTATTAGTTCCTTAGCTTCACTTAGCTTCACTTTTCCACATACGTAACATGAGAGTAACTGCCTGGTTAATGAGGCTATGAAATATTTTTTCAAGGAAGCAGGCCAAAAAAGTTAGTAAGGTTTACATAGATTAGTGAATTCTCAAAAAGGGAACAGACCATATTAGATATTTAGAATGGCGGAAGGAGGTTCTCATAGCTTGTAAAAGTTCTGCAAGTTTTTCTGATATTCCCAATATATAGTCACTCATAAGGTTTGCTAAGAAATTGGGTAACTTAGATAAATGGACACATTCCTAGAAAGACAGACAAAAACTACCAAAATTGACTGGAGAAGAAATAGAAAATATGAATAGACCTATAATAAGTAAAGATGGAATTAGTAAGTTGAACACCTCGCACAAAAAGAAGTCCAAGCTCAGATGGCTTCACTGGGGAATTCTACTGAAGGTTTAAGGGCAAATTAAAACCAATCCTTCACAAACTCTTCCAAGATATAGAAGAGGAGGGAATGCTTCCTAAGTCATTCTATGAGGCCAGTATTACCCTGACACCAAAACCAGTATCCCAGGAATGCACAGCTGGTGTAACACTGAAGATCAACTAAAGTAATGAGTACTTTATTCATAGTATAAAGATCAAAACATATATAAACATTTCTATAGGTGCAGAAAAGGCATTCGACAAAAGCTACCACCTTTTTATAATTAAAAAAAAAACTCAAGAAACTAAGAATAGAAGGGAACTTACTTCTTCAACCTGATAAAGCACATTCACAAAAGACCCACAGCTAACATCATACTTAGTGGTGAAAGACTGAAAGCTTTCCCATAAGACCAGGAGTGAAATAAAGATGTCCACTCACATTACGTCTATCCAACATTGTACTGGAGGCTCTAGGCAGGATAATTAGGCAAGAAAAAGAAATAAAAGGCATCCAGATTGGAGAGAACAAATAAAACTATCTCTGTTTGTAGATGGCATGATCTACAAGGGGAAATGGAATTGATAAAATAAAATACATAAATCCTATTTCTCAACATAAGCTCCATCAAGTTCTCAACACTTTTGTAAGCAATGATACCAGCCATTTAAGCCATCCCTAAAAAACTGACGTGCTGGAAGTTTAACCATGACAATGCAGTCTTTTTTTCATTATTAAATGAAGAAATATGGGTGCTCTTTTCACATTACGTCTATCCAACATTGTACTGGAGGCTCTAGGCAGGATAATTAGGCAAGAAAAAAAAATAAAAGGCACCCAGATTGGAGGGAACAAATAAAACTATCTCTGTTTGTAGATGGCATGATCTACAAGGGGAAATGGAATTGATAAAATAAAATACGTAAATCCTATTTCTCAACATAAGCTCCATCAAGTTCTCAACACTTTTGTAAGCAATGATACCAGCCATTTAGGCCATCCCTAAAAAACTGACGTGCTGGAAGTTTAACCATGACAATGCAGTCTTTTTTTCATTATTAAATGAAGAAATATGGGTGCTCTTCAAAGATTTTTAAGATTAGGAAACAAAAAGTCAGAAGGAGCCAAATCAGAACTGTAAGGTGGATGCCTAATGATTTCCCATCAAAACTCACAAAATCGCCCTTGTTTGATGAGAGGAATGAGCAAGAGGAGGATTCTCTGGTGAAGATTTTCTGGGTGTTTTTTCTGCTAAAGCTTTGGCTAACTTTCTCCAAACACTCTCTTAATAAGCAGGTGTTATCACTCTTTGGCCCTCCAGGAAATCAACAAGCAAAATGCCAAAAAAATTCTTCTATGACCTTTGCTCTTGTCTGCTTTTGCTTTGACTGGACCACTTCCACCTCTTAATAGCCATGGCTTTGATTGTGCTTTGTCTTCAGGATAGTACTAGTAAAGCCATGTTTCATCTCCTGTTACAATTCTTCAAAGAATTGCTTCAGGATCTTGATCCCACTTGTTTAAAATTTCCATTGAAAGCTCTGCTCTTGTCTGCAGCTGATCTGGGTGCAACAGTTTGGGCACCCATTGAGTGGAAAGTTTGCTCAACTATAATTTTTCAGTCAGAATTGTGTAACCTGGACCAGTCAAGATATCTAGGGTGCTGGCTATTGTTTCTGCTGTTAATTGTTGGTCCTCTTCAATTACGGTAGGAACAAGATTAATTTTTTCCTCTCAAATTGATGTGGATGCTCTGCCACTGTGGACTTCATCTTCAACATTGTCTTGTCCCTTCTTAAAATGAGTTATCAATTTGTAAACTGCTGATTTCTTTGGAGCATTGTCCCCATAAACTTTTCATAAAGCATCAATGATTTCACCATTCTTCCACCCAAACTTCACCATAAATTTGATGTTTGTCTTTGCTTCAATTTGAGCAGAATTCATGTTGTTTTGACAGGGGCTCTTTCCAAACTGATGTCTTATCCTTCTTAGTAACTCAAACTAGAGCCTGTGCAGACATGTAATAACAACTTGGTATGAGTTTATTTTGGTGGAAAGAAACCTGAAATCCATGCATAGTTTTTTCACAATGTGCATTTTCCATGAACTTTTTGAAGACCCCTCATATAACAAATCCCAACAAATCCAATTAAAACCTAATACTAGAACTAATAAAGTTCAGCAGGTTTCAGGATACAAGATTAATATACGAAATATAGGGTATTTCTATGCACTAGTAATTAACAGTCCAAAAATGAAATTAATAGAGCAATTCTATTTATGAAAGCATGAAAGGAATAAAATGCTCAAGCATAAATATAACAAAAGAAGCACAAGACTCATACCCTGAAAACTACAAGACGTTGTTGAGATAAATTAAAGATCTGAATAAGTAACAAGATATCCCATGTTCACAATCAAAATTCCAGATGCCTTTTTTTCAGAAACTGATAAGCTGACTCAAAAATTCATGTGGACCTAAGAGATCCTGAGGCCAAAACAATCTTGAAAAAGAATAAAGTTGGAGGACTCACACTTTCCACTTCCAAAACCTACTGCAAAACCACATTAACCAACACAGTGAGGTACTGGCACATGATAGACATATGGATCAATGGAACAGAATCGAGAATCTACAAATGAACTCCTACATTAACGATCAATTGATTTTCAACAAGGACGCCAAGACAATTCAGTGAGGAAAGAACAGTCTTTTCAACAAATGGTGCTGGGACAGCTGGATATCCACATGCAAAAGAATGCCCCTGACCTTCCCCATATACAAAAATTAATTTAAGCAGATCAAAGGCCAAAAGAAAGGGCTAAAGCTACAAAACTCTTAGAAGAAAAATGTAGGTATAAATCTTTGTGACCTTAGGATAAGCAATGGCTTCTTACATATGATGCCAAAAGCACAAACAGTGAACAAGTTCAGTAAGTTGAACTTCATCCAAATTTAAAACATTTTGTATCAAAGGACACCATAAAGACAGTGAAATGACAATTCACAGGTTGACAGAAAATATGTTCAAATCATACATTTGATAAGGGACTGGTGTCCTTATGTAAAGAACTCTTACAACTAAATAATAAAATGACAGATAAACCAGCTGAAAAATGGGCAAAGAATAAAAATAGACCTATCCCCAAAGATATACAAACAGTCCAACAAACACATGGAAAGATGCTCAATGTTATGGGTCATTAGAGAAATGCAAATCAAAACCAGGTGAGACGCCACTCCCCACCCACTAGGATGGTTAGAATTTAAAACAAACAAACAAACAAAACAAAACAAATGGGCAAGAACAGTGTCAGCAAGAATGTGGAGAAACTGGAACCCTTGTGCCTTGCTGGTGGGAATGTGAAATGGTGCAGGCTTTTCAGAACACAGTTTGGAAGCTCCTCAAAAAGTTAAACATAGAGTTATCACGCGACCCAGCAATTCCACTCCTAGATACCTATCTAAGAGAAAGGAAAATGTACACTCACACAAAAGCTTATAAATAACTGTTCACGCAACATTATTCATAGAATTAAAAAATGGAAACAGGGCCGACCCCGTGGCGCACTCCAGAGAGTGCGGCGCTTGGGAGTGCAGCAGCGCTCCTGCCGCGGGTTCGGATCCTATATAGGGGGATGGCCGGTGCGCTCACAGCACTCACTGGCTGAGTGCGGTGTGGCCGGTCTCAAAAAGGACAAAAAAAAAAAAGTGGAAACAACCCAAATGTTCACCAACTTATGACTGGATAAACAGAATGTGCTCTATCCATACAATAGGATGTTATTCAGCCATAAAAAGGAATTAAATACTGACACATGCTATGTTATGGGCAAACCTTACAAATATTACACTCAGTGAAAGAAACCAGGCACAAAAGACTATGTACTTATATGAGATGTCCAGAAAAGGCAAATGTATAGAGACAGAAAGTAGACTAGGGGTTCTTGGGGCTGGGGACAGGGGAGATGGGGACTGAGTGCTAAAGGGCATGGTTGTCTTTTTAAGGTGATGAAATGTTCCAAAATTAGATTCTGTAAATATGCTAAGTACCACTGAAGCGTGCGCTTTATCCAGGTGACCTCTCTGACATGGGAGTTACATCTCCATGAAGCTCGAAAGCTCACTATACACACTATATAAAAGGTGTTCTCTCCATCCAGAGGAGGAGGAAGGTATTTCTGCACACGCCACACCCCCTGGCTGTCCTTCCATGAGTTGGCAGGAGGCCCTGCAGGCATCATACTTCGGTTGATGCTGCCTGCCACTGCCAGCAACCTCAGGAATGCCGCCACTTTAGCTTGCTTCCCCTGCCGCCCCCGGTCTCTCTCCTGCTTCCAGGCATCACCTCTCAGACACCCTGAGCCCCCCGCCCATGACCCGGGCCCCTACCGTCGATGTAGGCTGGGATCTGCCCGAAGATGGTGAGATATGAGTGGTAGACCCCCCCGCGGAAGATCCAGTCCCCCCGCCTCTCGTTGTGGATGAGGATGGCCTGCTTGGCCACCCCGAAGGACACCACCCACACTGCCAGCAGGAAGAGGAAGAAGAAGACGTCCTTCATCTGCAGAGACAGCAAGGCATCGCGGCTGTACCTGCCCGCCCCGGCGCTCTCCCCGCCCTCTGCACCCAGAGATGGCAGGGAGCAGCCCTGGGGCCGCCTCCATAACCTCACAGAGTGCGCCTGCACCTCTGTGCTGGGCACCCCCGGGGGTAGGGGGGGGTCAGACATAACCATGACTCAAGAGGAAAGCTCCGACAGCTGAATCGGAGGTCAGGAAGGAGCTGTGGAGAATGGGGGAGAATCAAGGAAGGCTTCTAGGAAGAGGCGGCACACCAGCAGAGAGAAATGGATTCCAGGGGGCGGGAGCCAAGAGGCAAAGCAGGGACCCAGAACCTACAGTGTGCTCAGGCCCTGGTCCACCTCACTTACGACAGGCATCCCCTCCCCCGGCCCACAGGCCTTGCTGGGGTCCTCGTCCCCTCACCATCCGCTTCACAATGATTATCTTGGGACCCAGCGTCTTGCTGACAGTGAAAATGTGCATCAGCCGGAGGCAGAACATGATGAAATCCAGGGAAAGGATGACGCGTCCAGGATACAGCGTCGCTGGGATGAGCCTGGTGACCCGGGCAGAAGCACACCCCACCTCAGCTCTCTGCAACCCCAGGCAGCCGCCACAGCTCCCAGCACCGGTCCCAGCCAGCGCTTCATCTGCCCAGCCCGGGCCTGGCCCTCGAAGGCAAAGGGTGGACCCTGGACCCCAACGTGTTCAAAGCCAGGTGTGAAGCCAAGGGAAAACAGGCTTTTCTTCAGAAAGGTCCAGAAGCCCGTCCTCGGGCAGGGTGCCAGGTCCTGGGGACCTCCCGGGTCCCTCTTGCCTCTTGGACAAAGGGGGCCATGGCCTCCCAGTACACTAGGCCATAATGGGCAGTGAGGACCCAGCAGGAGGGAGGCAGGTAGACACAGCAGCAGCCGCATGTCCAGCAGGCAGGACAATTCCAGCGACTGCCATCCACAGCCCCACACACGGGCCACAGTCTGAGGCTTACAAGGGGCTCTTGTATCTCCCTCCTCTGCTCCTTCAGCCATCCCAAGGATAGGCAGAGTTGCTGTCATCACAACACCCACGGGACAGACAACGATCCCGGGTTCAGAGAGGAGCTGAGCCTCGCCCAGGGTGGAGCCAGCTCCAGACCTCGGCTGTCTTTGGTGGGGGGACCACATGGGGGAAGCAGAGGGAATCCCTGGCCACCCACCTGCAGGTCAGCCCCGCTATAAAGAGCACAATGGCAGCGACGTCCAGTTTGTTCCAGAAGTCACTGAAGTACAGGGCCGCCATCTTCATGAGCCCACACTCGTCCGGGTCGTAGAAGAGCTGCTGACAAGAGGGAAGTTAGGGGCAGCCGGGGTAATCATTACTACCGTGGTTGTCATCAGCACCGGCTTGTGAAAAGACTCTTCCTTTGTGGAGAGAGCTGGTTGGTTCGTTGGAGATTGGGAGTGAGACGGGGAGGGGACAGATCCTATATACACCACAGTCAAGGGCAAATGCAGGGCTTTCATCAGGCTCTGTTGCCCCCCAGAGCCACCGCTGTCCCCAATGGCCCCTCTCAAGCACGTGTGTGTGTGCTGGAGCTTCCCCACACACAGACTTTTGTTCTGACAGAGCCGCACCTGCTTCCAGAAGCTGCCTCAGGAGGGGGCTGACACCCTGTGGGGACTGCTGGAGCCTGCCTGCCTGGCAGGAGTCCCCACGCCCTCCCCCAGTCCCAGGCCAGATCCCAGCAGCTGGGTGGGTGGGGCATGACCCACAGGACCAACCAAGTCCCTTCCCTGGATCCAATAGGCACACCCAGGGAGGGGGCATCCCCTCTTAGTTTGGGGGCTGCCACCAAGAGGCAGAGGCGTGGGGAATACAGAGTCCTTCGACCCCCTGTGGAAAGGGCCCACCTGGATCCACGCTTCCTTCCCAGGACTCCCCACAGGCAGCATGCACACCCAGTGTAGGCAGGCCATCTGACTAGGGCCTAATGGTCTGCCAAGTCCAGAGGACAAAGAGTATAGGCTGTGTCTGTCCCCCAGTTGGCTGATCCCAACCCAGCGCCGAGGATCACATCAGCCCAATTCACATTCACTTGCTGCCACCAGGCGCTGGCACTGTGGGAACACAGCAGGGAACCCCATACAGTAAGGATTAACCCTGCCCAAAGAGCAGTTTGGCCTGTGCCCCCAGCTCCTGGGCGTGAACTTTTGAGCCCCTAGAACGTCCTGCCTGATGGAAGCATCTTTGTTTACAGGGACTTGGGCCATGCCAGACAGCCTAACAATGTGACTCAGGGTGGAGGCATGGGCCACGCAGCATCAGCTCAACCTCTGGAGGGGCCAGATACTGAGGTCAGCCACATGGGTGGTCAGCCATGTCTATGTGACAGACCACAGTAAAAATCCTGGACTTCGAGGCTAGAGTGGGCTTCCCTGGGTGGCAGTGCTCTGAGCATGATGTCACACATTGTTGCTGGGAGAACTAGGCCCTGTCCACACCTCCACAGGGAGGGGACGGCTGGAAGCTTGCACCTGGTCTCCCTCCTGGACTCCACCCTGCACACCTTTTACCTGGACTGGTTCTAATCTGTAGACCTCTGCTGTAGAACATCATCACTGTGAGTACTGAAGCTCTCAGAGATCCTGTGAGTCCTTCTGGAAAACTACTGAGCCTGAGGGTGGTCTTGGGGACCCCTGTACTCTGCACTGCTCTTCACAGGGGAAGGAGGAGACACACCCACCCAAAGCCCATGAGGTCTTGGGGTGAGGGCATCCCATTCCCCTCTGTCCTGGGGCCTTGCCCAGCTTGCAGGGGACAGGTGAGGCTCAGTGAGGACAGGCGTCTGGCCAAGGGTCCACCATGAGGAAGTGGCCAGACTGGAGCAGGGGTGGGAAGGCCACCATGGGGCTGTGGAGGCCTCAACTGAGATAGGAGGTGCTTAGTTTCCCTGGGCTCGGGTTTCAGGACAGGCCTTGGGGTTTCCAGCCACTCCCCAAGGTCTCTGGCCCCCTCCTCTGAGCTCTCCCCTAGAGGAAAGTTACTGTTGCCAGTTAGACCTATTTTTAGCCCCAACATGAGGAAAATGAGACCACAAGAGGTTGGCTTATGCAAATCCAGTGTCTGGGCATGCTCAGTAGAGAGGGGTTATGTAACCCTGGGAGCTGAATGACCTTCCCCTAGAGGTGCTAGAGAGCACAGAACATTCACAAATATGTCCGGTGCCTGTGATAGGGTCTGACCAATGAGCATCCTCCATGAAGGGACCGACTGAGCATGTGCAAGACTGAGTTACACAATGGGAACCACTGCCTTAGTTGACTATTCATTAGATGTAGAAACTATAAAAGCCAGAGATCCCAGTAGAAGGGAGAGCTGGTGTTCACCCTCCTGGAGGCAGCCCACACTCTGCCTGTGGAGTATGTATTTCTTTCTCCTTGTATCAAATTTACCTGCAGCGAGCGGCTGCTCACTCTCTTGAGCCAGCCTGTCCTCAGTACTGAACTTCAAGTGTGTTTTTCTGGCTTTCGTGTTAGACTTGATGTCTGTACTGGACTGACTTCTGCGTTCGACTTGGTGTGGGCCCTGCTTTGTCTCTGGAGCTGTGCCAGACTCTCCCTGTGAGGTCTGTTTCTCTTATTCATTACATTAAACCTGTTCTCACTTTCAAATACCATGACTCTGCCCTTGAATTCTTTCCTACGGTGGAGTTAAGAACCTGGTAAGAGGACGGGGTGGGTGGAGGCCAGCCACTGGGCCCCCAGACCCTTCCTCTGGCATCACCAGGACCCAGGGCGGATGGGGCTCACCTGCCGCGTCTCCTCACACACCAGAGAGAAGAGCCAGAGGTAGATGGCACACTCGCACCAGGAGGGCGTGGGCTGGAAGTCCACCATGAGCACGTAGGCGAAGAGGCAGAGGAAGGCGAAGTAGGACAGGATGTTCAGGTGGAAGACGACCACGGGCGCGCTGAAGAAGGCGCGGGCACACGCAGAGCCGCCCACCGCCTGCAGCCTCTTCTCCCTGCGGCCGATGCCAGGTGACCATGAGGGGCTGGGGTCCTGACATCCACAGCCCTTGACCACCCTGGGTCCCCCCCTTGACCCCGAGAGATGCTGCTGCAGGGGCGATGTGCTCGGGGGTCTTGCTGTTACAGAGGGAGGCGGTATGAGGCAGCCTGGGTCTGTGTGGCCCCACATCCCCCAAATGCAGCCACAGCAGGACAGGGCACCCAGCAAGGCCTGGACCCAGAGATGACCCTCTGACGCCCACCCACACCAGGACTCTCAAGCGGGTGACACGGCCTGGCTCTTAGCCCAGCCTTGAGTCAGGTCCTGCCTGTGGATGCCCGGGCTTCAGCCACCATCCAGTAACAAACACCATCGTTCACAGGGGTCAGGGCCAACTGGGACCACAGAGTGCTGCCCACACGGTATGCTCTGACACACGGCCTCTTATCACAGGACAGCTGGCCATGAGGCAGAGGCTTCGTCAGCAGATGTGGCTTGCCGCCCTTAGGGGGCACTGAAAAAGCCCTGCCTCAGTTTCCCACCAGGACTCTCTGAGCACTTACAGCAACTCAGGCCCATGTCCCCAGCAGCAAGGGGTTCAGGAGGAGGTGGGCAGCATGGCCTGTGGGTTAGGGAGGGGCACAGCTGCTGGCCACCTGGGCTGGAGCCTTGGATCTGCCCCTGACTCCCGGGAGACCCTGGGCCCCAGTCCACTTCTCAGTAAAACAGAGCCAACTCCTCAACAGACCCTGGGGCTCTGAAGAGGCTGCAGTTGTGGACACAGGGCCATGCCTGGGTCCCCGGCCATCACTGTCCTCCTTCTCATGAGAAGACGATCCCACCCAGCACAGACCCCACACAGTGGAGGAACCAGAGACTCACAGCCTCGTCTCACGGTCCCACCCCAAAGGCTCAGGCCGCAGTGCCAGCTCCATCCTCCCATTCCCAGGGGCTGAGGCTGAGGGGGGCTCGCCCCCACCACCTGGTTGTTGATGTGGGGTCAGCTGGGGGGTGCTTCATACACATGGCTCACCCCCTCCACTTCCTGCCCAGGTCATCTCTACCAATGTAGGACCCAGGCACAACCATAAAGACACGTGCAACTTGCTCCCAGTGACAGCATTTGGGAGAGAAGGTCCCCAGTCCCCAGGGCCCCTCCCGCAGCCCTGTGGCCCCCACGGCACCTGAATGAGACGAGGCCAGTGAAAAGCAGCGGGAAGACCAGCATGCACAGGACCACGCGCCATAGCCCATTGTCCACGCAGAGCTGGCCCCACCACACCTTGGTCAGGAAGGCCTGCAGGCAGTGGGGAGGTGTCTCAGGATGGGGGCCCCAGCACCACGCCACACCCGGGCCTTCACAATCACAACCCACTCAGCCCCCTGCCCATACTGCGGCCAGCACAGGACGGGCGCCATCATCTGCCAGCTGAGGTGCTGGGCTCCAGGAGGGCAGAGCCCGCTGCAGTCTCACAGGAGTGGTGGCCAAGAGGCAGGGCTCACACGGGGGCTCCCAATTCCCAATCCCGCCTGTGCTCCCACCTTGAGCTGCGGGACCCCATCTTCGCAGGGTTCTGAGGCCGCACAGTCACGGGCCCTCATGAGCTGGCCCCACTAAGCCCTGTAGGGCGGGAACAGACGCCTCCCCAGGCATCCCAGGCCCCAGCACAGCCCGGGACATGATGGAGCCCAGTGGACAGGTGCAGCATGAAGCTGAGGGGACCCCACTGCGTGCCAGGTCCCCATGGGCCCGAGGTCGTGCTGAGAGCAGCCACCACCCCAGGTGCTCCCTGCCCTTAGTGCTGCAGATGGACACACTGCCCCCATCCCTCCTGGGCCCCTAGGTAGGGAGGGCTGGTGCCGGCTGTGGGGACGCCTGGGGGACTGCCTGCTGCTCCCAGGCAGGACATCCCATGTGGAGGTGAGCCGCTGCCTCATGACCAGATACCACCTGCTTTTCCTCATCTGTAAGATGGGAGGGAAGAGCCTTCTGCTGGGGACTGGGAACAATGGGTCAGGCACTGCCCCAAGTCACTGAGGGGCCTGAGACCTGCATGAACATGTGTACCATCCACGTGAGCAAGAGGCTGTGTCCCCCCAAAAGCACTGCAGGTGCCTGTTTCTGGAAGCAGGCCCTCGGAAGGTCACCTGGATGCCCCCGTGAGACACGAACTTCATGTCCTTGGCCTCCAGGGCAAGCTGCAAGCATGTGGTCTTCCCCCAGGCCTCCGACACACGGATGAGCAGCTTCTGGGCTCTCTCCTCGTCCTTGCGATAACACTCAGTGAAGACCCCTGGGCGGAGAACGAAGATGGAGCAGCAGGAGACTGAGCCCCAAGGACAGTGTCAGAGAGTGGACCCTCCAGACAGCATCAGTTGAAGGTCTGGCAGGGGCACAGAGTCAAGAGAAGGCAGGCAGACGGGGGCTGATGTCCACAAACACCTGCGCCCAAGGCAACAGCACAGGGGCTGAGTCGTGGTCTCAGTCCCACCCCACTGGTGCTCACCAATGGCTCTGTGCTCATACTCGTCCGCCAGCACCAGCATCTCTTCTGAACTGTCCGTGTCCTCCTCCTCCTTCGACAGCTCCTTCAGGATCTTGCTGCAGGCCAAGGCCGCCGCAATGCAGTCCTGGCTCTGGGGATCCAGGAGTCACCGTAAGAACCTGGAGGGCCAGCCAGGCCCAGCCCACCCGGGGAACCTGATGCACTGCTGGGATGTGAAAGCAGAGAACATGGACAGGACGGGCCACTGGACAGGATGTAACCCCTTTCTGAAGGCCTGGTCTCCCGTGCTGCCCAGTGGGGTGTTCTGCCTGCCCTGCAGTCTTTCTCCAATGGACAGAGCAGACACAGCATGTGCACTGGCCTGCCAGAGCCACATGGCCCACACAGTACTGCCCAGCCTGTGCACCCTCACAAACCTCAGCACTGGACATCAATGAAGAAGGACTTCGCCTGGCAGACTTTAAAATTCTCTTCCTGCCTAGACCTAAGTTCTTTGAGTCCAACCCTGAGCACACAAGTACTTTCTGGTGTTGAGGACGCTCACAACCTCCTACTCAGCTGAGAGCCATCCCTGCATGCTGTTGGCCCTGGGCTCTCCAGCCACACTCCTAGCTGGTCAACTGGTCTACACGTAGCCATGTCTGCTGAAAAGCAGGTCTTATTACCTGAGCCCAGATGATTCCTGCCAGCTCCCGGCGGTTCTGGACAATGGCCCAAATGAGAAGGTCACGGACTGGGTCCATGGTGAAGGTAACATGGCCTGATGACCGCTTGTAGAGGGAGCGAAGGCTCACACCTTGCACCTGTGAGCAGTGGACAGTCAGAGTCCCAACCTAGGCCCCTGCTGGCATTGAAATCCCTGAGGGAGCCTCTCAGCAGTGTAGCCTTATCCATAACCCCAACCACAGCCCCTGCACCAGCTCCCACCTCAGCCCTGACCTTCTTGGGATCACCATCCCTGGAGGCTGGGCCCACAACTTCTATTTTCAACAATACGCTAGACTGTCCTTATGTACTGAAGTTTTAAAACCATTGTTCTGGAGATATCTAGAAACATCTGGAAAGTGGAATACTCTTCTAACTCCTTCACCGACAATTTTAGACCCTTTTTCATGCAAGGCGCTTCAAGTTTCCTTAGCCTTATCTTGTGGCATCAAAGCCTTTTTAAATGAAAATTCTAGCACATTCTGTTAAGATTTATGGCTCTGAGCTCCCTAAGGGAATCTAACAGTTTCTCCTGCAGAGAAGGCCACCAAGAAAGGGCTGCTGAATAAACAATGACAGTCACACATGGGCAGAAGGGCACCTCAGCCTCAGTCACACTCAATGCAAGCTGTCCTGCTGATCAGTAAACAGGTGCTCAGATAGTCTGAAAATAATTCTCAGAAGTAGAGAACACATTTCCTGCATCATGTGCAAAATTGCACTTTCTTTGATTCTAGGAATTTCTAGAAGGGTTATCTTTATAAAGAAATTATAAAGAATTGCAGATACAGTTAAGTGTGAGCCTCTGTTTTATACCTTCTTAAGCACATTCCAACTGGGCGTCTTAAATAAACACCCTGGAATCAAGAAGAGCAGAACTATGAATATATAAAACCAAGCTGTAACTATGTTTTTCTCAGAGGTTGGCATAGCTCACCTGGGACAATGGACAGATTGGAAAACCTGGAGGAAATGGCTAATTTTCTAGCAGGAAAAAAAAAAAAGATTTTAGAAGAGATCCTAAATAGAGAAATAATCAGGAAAGAAACTAAGAAAGCTATCAGAACTACTACCAAAAAATAAAATTAAAAAGGCACTGGGCCACAACAGGCTCATGGGAGAGCCTACAAGCATGTACGAAGCAATTAACTCCAGCCACATAAACTGCTCTAGAGCACAAAAAGAAAGGAAGCTTCCCAACTGTTTTTCCAAAGGTAACATAAAATTGATACCAGAAGCTGACAAATACAGTACCCAGAATAAAACTACAAAGGCTCAAACATTCTGATGTAAAAAGTCTAAAAATATTGGCAACAGACTCCAGCAAAACATTAAACTTAGTATTAAACATACTACGCTGCAATCAAGTTGAGATTCAAAAAGGAATAAAAACATTTCACTATCAGAAAATCAATTAAAAGAATTCACCAAAGTCATGGGTCAAAGAAGAAAAGCAGCTCAATCTTCTCAAAAGGCATCTGACAGAACTCAGCACTGATGCTTTCTTTGTTTTGTAAAACCTTAATGAATCAGAAAGATATGAATACTCCCTAACATAAATGCACATACAAAAGCCAGCATCATTCTCAGCATTGGTACAGCACAGGATCCCCAATCAAGGATGCAGTCTACAGCACCCACCCCACTCCTGCTGCAGCACATGACTGTGTCTCACACAGACACAGCAAAATCTCGACCTGACCACACCAGAAGCTGAGAACACCTGCTTAGCAGGACTGGGGTTCAGGGCAGAGGGACACCATTCTTTTTGCATGACATTTTTTTATTGTTTAGAGTTTTTAGAAAGGGACTGTAATGAACTGAATTGTGTCCCCCTAAAATTCATATGTTGAAGCCCTAACTCCCAGTGTGATTGTAGGATTTGGAGAGGGGGCCTTCAAGGTGGTAATTAAGGTTAAATGAGGTCATAGGGCAGGACCCTAATCTGTTAGGATGTGTGTCCTTATAAGAAGAGGAAGAGACACCAGAGATCTGACACAGCATGAGGGTAGCCGTTTGCAAGCCATGGTGAGGAAGACAGGCCTCGCTGAAAACTGAATCCACCGACACCTTAATCTTGGACTTCCAGTCTCCAGAACTGTGAGAAAGTGAATTTCTGTTGTGTAAGCACACCAGCAAGTGGTATTTTGCTATAATAGCCAAGCAGACTAAGACTGGGAGCATATACCTTTTCTAGGAAGAATAAAAGCTAATTTTATAAACAGAGCTGTGAGGACACACTGGCTCTGAGGACAGGCAGGGCACATCACCAGCACGCACGTTGAGCTTGATGTGTGGCACAGGCAGCAAGAGCCGGGGCCGGTCGCTGTGCCGGGGGCGGGGGTACAGCGGCTGCGTGAAGTCTCCCAGCAGCTCCCGCAGCACCTGCGCCACGTGGTGCATCTGCACGTGAGGCGTGGCGGGCGCACAAGCCAGGCGCTCAGGCTCCTCGGCCAGCACTTTCTGCAGCTTGCAGTGGAACAGGCAGGATGGCTCCAGGTTCTCGTAGAGGTACAGCAGCGTGTCCCAGGTGACAAACTCCTTCAGCCGCACCCCGTTCTCCAGAAAGAGCTTCACGAACTCGGGCTTATTGGAGATGAGTGCGGCGGTCATCGTGGGGTGCAGATCTGAAGGCTGAGAGCGAGCACATGGGGGTGACCGTGCATTTGGTCATCACTTCACAAAAGCACTCCTGATCTCAGGGACCCTGGAGACAGGGCTGCTGTTGTCTCCAATCTGGGAAGGATAAAGGTCACCCACTACCAAAGGAAAGGCTGGGATCCAGACGGGGCCCTCACCCCCACCCTGGGGCCTGCCCTTGCTTCCGCGGCATGATGCAGGTGGCCCAGCTTCACCTTCCACTGCCACTCATCGGTGAAGATCTCGCTGCGGGCAATGTCCACACGGTTCCACGCCACTGCCAACTTCAGCTGGTGGTCCCAGTTCTCGTGGCCAAAGTGGTCTTGGCTCCGAGAGGCTGCAGGTGAAAGAGCGTATCAGGGCTTTGATATGGGTCTCAATGCCACCTCCCTTCAGTGCCCCACTGATCAATGAAAACAGAGCATTAGGGATCTGTCATGAGCCAATTCTCTCAACAATGTAAGGTGACAATGCAGTGCTTGTCTGCAACAGTCCCCCATGAACACACACCCTCGTAAAAGCAGTTTTCATTTCAGGGTTAGAATCAGAGACTCTTGGGGTTCAGGTCGTGACTGTAGCTCACTCCATTCCCCCTGCCCTGCACCCACCTCCTGGCCATGCCCCTGGCCCCTACATGACAGGTGGACAGTGACATAAGAAAAGAGCCTCACGGTTTAAAGAAGACAGAGGTCTCTGAAACGCAGGCATTTTACATTAATGTTCAAAACCAGAACTCCAGGGCCGGCCTGTGGCTCACTCGGGAGAGCGTGGTGCTGATAACACCAAGGCCACGGGTTAAGATCCCCTTACCAGTCATCTTTAAAAAAAAAAAACAAAAACGAACAAAACCAGAACTCCAAAGCGTCACGTTTCTTTTTCGGCCTCGATTGTCTGAGAACTCTCAACTGCGCAACCCCTCACCCAGGTTCTCAGGACAAGTATTTTGCCCAAGTAGTTTCTGTGCTCTTTCTCATTTAACTTTGCCAAATACGGGTTGTTATTTGAGGAAGAAACAATAGAACTTTGACCCTTACCTCACAACACAAAAATCAATCTGAGGTGGACCACAGACCTAAATATAAAAGCCATGTCTATAAAGCTGTTATAATAAAACAAAAGAAAGTATTTGTGACCGTGGCATAGGCAAAGATTTCTTAGATAGGATACAAAGAACTTGTGATAAAGGGAAAAAGTTGATAAATTAAATGTCATTAGAATTTAAGCCGTCTGCTTTTCAGACACCTTGAAGAAAATATAAAAGCAAGCCACAGACCAAGAGGAAATATTTCCAACACATATATCTGGCAAAGGACTTGTATTGGAATACACAAAGAACTCTTACAACTCAAAAATAGGAAGACATAACCAAGTAGAGTTGGACAGAAGATCTGAAAGACTCTTCACCATGGAAGATAGACAAACGGCCAAAAAGTCCATGAAACAACGCTCCACATCGTCAGTCATCAGGGAAATGTGCTTTCTAACCACGTTGACATATCACTTCTCACCCACTAGGACAGCTAAGATTTAAAAGACAGTTAAAGTGTTGACCAGGATACAGAGCAACTGGAACTCTCAGCCATTGCCAACAAAGAGGGAAAATAGTACAGGTTTTTTTTGGAAAAGAGTTTGGCAGTTTCTTATAAAGTTGGCCACACACTTATCATAAAGAACCAGTAATTCCACTTGTAGGTATCAAACCTAGAGAAATGAAAACAAATGGGAGCTTTGTTCGTAATAGCCCCAAACTGGGAACAACCTAGATGAAATGGAAAAACAAACTGGGGTGTGCTCATGCAATAGAATCCTACTCAGCAGAAGAAGGAAGGAAGTTCTGATACATGCAGCGGCACGGATGAATCTCACAAACAAGAAGGAGCAAGATGTGGAGGAATGTATAACACATCCTTCTGTTCATGTGATGTTCTAGAACAGGTGAAACGTGCCTACAGTGACAGAAAGCAGATAAATGGTTCCCCAGGGCCCCGCTGGAGGAAAGGCTGACTGTAAAGGGGCAAGGGAAATGTTCTGTATTTTGTGACTGTGGTGGGCATGTGCATGTATACACCTGTCACAGTCACCTAGCAGTAAACTGAGAGGTTTTGCTGTATATAATCTGAACCTCAACAAAGCTGATTTTTTTATTCATTAGTTTTTTACTGAGGTAAAATACACACAACATAAAATTTTCCATCTTTAACCATTTTTAAGTGTACAGTTTAGTGGAATTAAATACATGCATAATATTATGTAAACATCACCATCATCCAACTCCACAACTCTTTTCATCTTGTAAATCCAAAACTCTGTGCCCATTAATCAATAATTCCCCAAACCTCTCCCCTCACCCCCTGAAAGCACCATTCTACTTTCTGTCTGTATGATTTTGGCTACTCTAACTGATATAAGTGGAATCATACAGTATTTGCATTTTTGTGACTGACTTATTTCACTCAAGACTCATCCATGGGGGAAAAAAAGATTCATCCATCCTGCAGTGTGTGTCCAATCTTCCTCTTTTTCAAGGCTGAGTAGTATTCCACTGCACGACTACACCACATTGTGTTTATCATCTGTTGATGGACACTTGGCTTGTTTCCACGTTTTAGCTATTGTAAATAATGCTGTTATAAACATGGATGCAAATATCCCTTAGAGATGCTGCAGTTTATTTGGGCCAATAAATGGAATTGCTGGATCATACAGTAATTCTACTTTTAATTTTTTAAGGAACCACCATGCTGTTTTCCACAGTGGCTATAATACCAAGTTACATTCTCACCAACAGTACACAAGGGTTCCAATTTCTCTGCGTGCTCCCCAACACTTACTATTTTCCATTTTTTTTGATAGCAGCCATCCTAATTGGTGTGAGGTGGTATCTCACTGTGGTTTTGATTTGCGTTTCCCTAATGATTACTTATGTGGATTTGATTTGCATTTCCCTAATGATTACTGATGTGGAGCATCTTTTGATGTCCTGATTGTCCATTTGTATATCTTCTTTAGAGAACTGTCTATTCGAGTCCTTTGCCCATTCTTGAACCAGGATGCTTGTTTTTTGTTGTTTGTTGAGTTTTAGGACTTCTCTATCTATTCTGAATATCAATCATTTATCAAATATACGAGAGTATTTCAAAAAGTTTGTGGAAAAATACAATTGAAAGATAATACTAATCTTTCTATAATCTTTTTGAAGTAACCTCATATGATTTGCAAATATTTTCTCCCATTTTGTGGGTTGCCATTTTACTCTACTAATAGTGTCTTTTGATACACAAATTTTTAATTTTCATGAAGTCCAATCTATTTTTTCTTTTGTCCTCTGTGCCTTTGGTGTCATATTCAAAAAATAACTGCTAAATCCAATATCATGAAGTTTTGCCCTGTGTTTTCTTCTATGAGTTTTAGGTCTTTAATTCATTTTGAGTTAATTTTTGTATATGGTGTTAGATAAGGTTTCACCTTTATTCTTTCGCATGTGGATATCCAATTTTCTCTGCAGCATTTGTTAAAGACCGTCCTTTCCTGCACTGAATGGTCTTGGCAACCTTGTAAAAAATCATTTGACCATATATGTGAGGTTTATTTCTGGGCTCTCTTTTCTGTTTCATTGGTCTATATGGCTGTCTTTATGCTGGTACCACACTGTGGTGATTCATTAAGATTCACAGTAATTTTTTTTTTTGTAAAGATGACCAGTAAGGGGATCCTAACCCTTGACTTGGTGTTGTCAGTACCACACTCAGCCAGTGAGCCAACCAGCCATCCCTATATAGGATCTGAACCCGTGGCCTTGGTGTTATCAGCACCGCACTCTCCCGAGTGAGCCACGGGCTGGCCCTCACAGTAATTTTTGAAATCAGGAAGTGTGAGTCCTCCAGCTTTGTTCTTTTTCAAAATTGTTTTGGCTGTTTGGGGTCTCTTGAAATTCCATGTGAATTTTAGGATGAGATTTTCTATTTCTGCAAAAAACATCATTGGGGTTTTCATAGGAATTTAATTGAATCTTTTTTTTTTTTGTCTTTTTCTGTGTCCAGCAACGGATTGCAACCCTCGGTGTTGCTCCCGCGCCTCGCTCAGCCAGTGAGCGG